TGTCGCACATCAATGGCGTCATATTAGATAACAACAAAAGAAGATATACTTGTTGTGCATGTCATGATGTGGGCTGCTAATGGCGTTAGTTGAACAAAAATAGAAGTAGAATAACCATGCAGCGAAAGTAATGACAAAATAAAAGATTAAATACAACATGAATAAAATATGCACAGTGATAGTAGCAACAGGGCTGACATCCATGCAATGACAAATGGCAAAATAGCGGAGCTATGGATTTACCTGGACACTGCTGAATTTCCCGGGTTGGATGGTTCCTTCCATTGGAGTAACGCTGAACAGGGCTCTTGTGGAAAGCGACTTCATCTGTGCCTTGAAGCCGACCGGATACTTTCCATTGTTGTTGAGGTTCAGCGACTTCGCCAATGTGTCGCATACTCTGACTGTGCCGAAGTCTATGCCTTCTTTGCAGTTATCAGGATGCACAACCTGAAGTTCTATTCTGTAGGCTTCGGCTCGGATGGTTATTAAGGAAGCGTGCACGGCAACCTGGGCCTCCTCGAGGTTAAATGCCTACAAGCAGGACAGATGGTGCACAAATCGCACTGTGAGCACAGTAAAGCGAATCCATCGCATGATGGGGATGCTCAATGTTAAATTCCACAACACGTGGTGCATTTTTTCGTGCCCCGCGTATGAATGCTGGTCATGGCGCAGACAAAAAAACTCCTACAGGCGAATACAATATCACTCTCAAACGAAAATCCAGCTCAGACTTTGCATCGAAGTGTGTTAGAGCACATTTGATAATAGTCGGCGCTCTAAATGGCAAAATTTTTGAGCTTGTCCTGCACAAATTTGCAATTCATTAAAGACAGCCATGGCAGAGGCTCTGGGCTAACGAGCAAATGTGTTTGAAATGCGTTGCGTGTAAGAAATGAGCCTCGACAGGTATCTGGCGCATGTCGTTAACAACATAGGCGTTGTCGCCATCGACGGCAACACCAATGTTGCAATTCAAGCAGGCAGTAAATTGACTGTCTGCAACTAGACTGCAGGTGTTATTACGCTTGCTGGACTGCGTTCTCTTCCATTTTCCAAGTGCGGCATCACAGCACCTTCAAATCCAGTGTGGCTGTCACTTCCTTTTCCTCCGATGAGCTGAATTCCACGCATGCCTCCACACTGTTGCCTGCCTCTACAATGCCCATTGTGGGGTAAACAGATATCTCCTCAGGAAGACTTTCCATTCTCTCAAGGCACCATTTAAACGGAAGGAGACCCTCGTTCTTTATAGAAAATCGTCTTACGGTCACCTTTATAGAAAATCGTCTTACGGTCACCTTCCCTACTAGTATTCTGTCAAAAACGATCTGTGTGCAGGGATCTTGAGTCTGGAAGATGCACAGCATGAAATCTGGTTAGCAATAGCCACACGCAATTGGCAATTACCACGCCAACCAAGTTACACCAAGGAAATATCACGATATAAAGTGATATGGAGTATATGCCGTATGAACTATGCATCAGACGCGGTTTGAGAACACCAGTACGATTTAAATGCGATTCATGGCAATGTCACAAGCGAATCTCTGCAGAGGAATCCGTCGTTCCAACTGCGAAGTCTGCTGGGGTTGAACGTGAATAAGCGAACGCAGAAGCGTCAATCCGAGAGTTTGGTCCGTCGAGCATTTTACCCAGACGATGGGAGGCGGCAGCATGGTGAGTATGGCGTCGAAGTTGATTCGCAGTTGCACGTGAGATGTTCTGCAAATTGTTCCTTGAAAATATTATGCCTAAATTGAAGCAGCCATTTGCGGCTTGGTTCCTTACGGCATGGTGGCCACAGCCGTATTATTTGAGATCCTTCACCTTCTTCCGGTCGCCTGAATCCTGTAGTTCGCCGGCATCGATCCCTTCCATCGCTAGAGTCAAGTGCGGCCTCGCACCAGTGCAACAAATGGGGAACTCCACGGGTTTCGGATTTCCATCAATTCTGCAGACCACCGCATCATCGATCACGCCCTCCTCCTGAGGAAAAGCCCAGAGGGTGAGATCTTGGGATTCGGCAACAGCCAGATCCATGCTGGCCGGATCGAGGTAGAACACGCTGGATGGGGCGACGTCCTTGCCCTTTCCAGCAGCCTTCTTGTCCTTGGGCGAAGTGGTTTCCTGTCCAGCCTCGGCCGACTTCAGCGTCAAGGTGGTTCTGAGGGGAAAGAACCCAGCGTTGATGATGCGCATCTTGGCGCTGTGTTCCGGGTGGCCCCCCTCCACGCGCAGTTCCGGGTCCTTTCCCGCAAGAAGGGGACCGAACTCGAACTTCCCGCTCGGTACCACGTACTGCTTTGACACCACTGAGGGACGCGGCCTCCCATTCGTCTTCTTGTAGAACACCCGCCTGTAGTCCTCGCACAATTGCGGGCGGTCGCAGATGCCGGAAACCGTCAAGTGGGCGCCGCAGGGCCTTGAGGGGGGCCCGTGACACACAATTTCAAACGCCAGCGTCCCCTGAAACCTGCCCACGTCATCCGATTGAAAGCGAATGGCCAAGGGCTGGGATGTGTTCGGAGGAATCACCCACCGCGTCTGGCTGGTGTGTTTCGCATCACTGGAATGCGTCAATGACTTGTCGTCGCCACATTCCTCCTCGATCTGGGACCTGCTGCCGCTCTGGCGATCGTCACCACCTCCTGCGCTAGTTGGGGTGAGAATCTGAAACCTCTTGACAGCACTTCTAGCCTGCCTCTGGCGAGGTCTGTGCATGATTTGAAGAGTGTAAGGGTCCGGGACTAGTCTTTCATCAGCGGCTACAGCCGGCAGAACTGTAGACATGGTACCAAGGTAGAACGAGATGCCGCAGGCCGCGTTTCGCACGCCCTCTGGCTTGTCCCCCGCATCCACGATTCTCACCACGGCAGCATTTCTGCTAGTGCCTTCTCCAAAGTACTTAAGAACCTCCTCCAACTGAGCTTCGTCGGGACCTTCCATGATTGGGGCGGCTGTGTCAGACCCCTCTTCGGTTCCCTCCTCGGGAACACCGCCAGGGTCAGTCTTTGTCGGCACGGCCTTGCACGACAATAAGGGCCATGCGGCTTCCATTAGTTGTGATCCCATTGGTTTTGCGGCACTGGAAGTTTGCGAGATGTGGACGATAATTTCGAACACAACAGCAGGCAGTGAACAAAACACGTACAACAACAGTCCAACATGTCGGGTCGTTCTAATGCAGGTTTCTATGGCACTGCAGCATTCGCTTGAGGCGCACTCCGTGCTGCCGCTTGTTTGCATATATGGAGAATTGGGCGCGAGCGAGCTCGAGCGCCAGATTATGCACTGCGCAACACGAAATATCAGACACTTGTCAGGTGTCATCGCCATTCCGCAACATCGCATGTTTGAATTACTACGAACGACCCTGCTCAAAATGGATGGGAGATACCAATTGATTCCATGGGACGCAGGGAATCCAACGCATAGGCGCATTTCACACTGAATTCTGTTGAAGCATACAGGTACAAAGGCGATAGTAGGAAAAAGCATACTGGCTCCCTTGGCTCCTCCACCGTGCTTCCACCCGCAGAACCCGGAAGCGACTCGCTCTTCTCGTCGTTCGCATCCCTTAGACCGCACATTTTCGAGTCGGCTTCAGCCGCCGGTTCTGTCTCGGCCACTGGTTCCGTCTCCGCTCCTATCGGTGCCTTGTCGTCATCGTGCCCATGAGCTGCGGCGTACCGTTTGGAAATTTCCCTTTCGCCCAGCTTCAAATATATTGCGAACAGTTGCTTGGGCGGAGGCCGCTCGCTCTCCGGAGAGGGAGAAGGAATCCATATGAATTCATCGGAATGTTCATTGCTGCCCTGGTCGTAATCCACGTCGTCGCCGGCACCGCTTTCGGCAGGCTGCCTTTCAAATCCCAGCGCCGACAAAATGACGTTAGGGCAGAGATCCGGAACTGCGTATTGGGATTTGACATCGTCGAAAACGACCCCTTTTCGATATTGCTCTTTTCCGAGAGATGATTTCACGGCCATGACCAAGAGAGAATCGACAGCCTCAGGCGACAAACCCGTACACAGAGGTGGAATGCCCGATTCTTCATCCCCAATAAGAATTTCAACCACAACATCTGCCAGAGTCGGTGGTCCGTCGACGAACTCTAAATGAGAAAGGGCCTCACGCAAGTCTTCGTGAAGCGAATCTAGGTCAATTGGATCCTCGAAAGTGGACGCCTCCTGCGGACAAACCGTACCAAAGCGATATGTAGGAAAGCCACGCATTGCATTGTCAAAGTTCCAAGACGACAGGCGCATTACATGGGCGGGTGCACCTAGTGAGCGCGAGTGATTGCCTCAAATACGTATCCGTGTGCAATCATCAGGATACGAAATTGGGAATATGACCTTGGAGTGCGGAGAACCGTATATGCCGAGAGGGAGTCTGCATATGTCCATGCAAAGGCTTACTTGAACTAGGCTATCGATCGTAGCGACCGCTGTACCGTAGCGCTCTGCCATCATAGCCGCTTGAGTTGACTTTCCTGACAATCTGCCACCAAACACAATCACCACTACGGGATCATTTCCCTCATCGCTCACTTCCCCAACATCCCCATGGGACTGACCCTCCTCATCATCATTCGCATCTAATCCCGTGCCTTCTTCATTAATCTCAACCTCCAAGTTTTTGGAGATGTTGGCTGTCTCTCCTGAATTTTCATCGGTCATCGCACTCTCCAGGGTATCCTGAATCACCAAGCCGTGTTCAACAAACTTGCGAAAGCACTGGGTGTTTTCTAGAGTCTGCTTAACTCAACCACTGGGCGACTGATCTTCAAGATGCCCAAACAAAACAGTTGTGCAAATCCAGTGAACCATGTGGCCACAGATAAGTTGCCGTTGACGCCTACGGTATCGGCATCATATGTTTGGTTTGAGGATCCGCTATGCATTGCGGGTTTGGCGAAAGTAAGCTGTTTTGCTGGCTGCATTTTCACCTGCTGCGTACTGGATCCGACGGCCTCAGATTCGTCATTTCCATCAACTGATGGAACGATGTCTTTCCACAGCCCTGATCCTGGCAACAGCGGCTCCATGAAAGCGCAGCCCTCGGAGTCGTACCTGAATATACATTTATGCGAATCAGTGGTTTTTGGGAGGTTGAACAGAGCCGCTTGCTACCGTTTCTGAAGGGATGTGACCAACAATCGATAATATAGAGCCGCAGCTGACCTGTTGCTCCCCCAGCACTATAGTTGCCCTATAGTCCATTTTTGCGACCGTTCCCCACTTTGGTGCGCATGTTTGTTTTGATAATTCAGGGATACGATCCGTTTGTCGCTGTTAATTAGTCAAGGAGGTACAAGAAATATATCAACTGATGGAGAAGAACAGACGAAACACAATAATACCGTTGAAGATACTTGGCTTCTTATTATCAATATGTAGAAAAACACGTTTCCTAATACGCAATTGATATTCCAGTGGCCCAAGCCAAATCGGACATACCAATATGCAATTTCCAAGGCACGCAGAAACTGCCAATTACCCGTACTGCAACGATAACATCATAACTGCGAACGAAGTATCGAGGCAAACTTTATTAAACTCACCCCTGAAAATCTCTCAAGATTTGTTCCTCTTCGAGATACTTGCCATCGAAATCCAGAACCATCACCTCAACAGTATAGTTGCACGGATTGATGAGGTGAGCTACAGCTTCATTAGGCGTTTGCTCATCATATCTCGGGAGAGATGGTCCCAGATCGAAAATCGGCTGATCTAAATGAAACCTTAGAGTGTGTCCTTGACCCCGAGCTATAACGCTGTGTGCCTTTGCGCTGTAGTTGATTTTGATTGGAATCGCCTGTTCGTACGGGACCTCTCTGTTGGCGGCAGGGATGAAGGACACCTGCAGTCCTCTCACATCCTTACCCCGCGCCCTTGTATCACTGAGAAATAATGTCTCTTGAGCATACCATACATCATCATTATCAACGCATGAAAAGGATGATCAAAAATTTCGGCAATTAAAAAAGATGAGGTGCATCTGGTTGGAATCGAAGCAACACGCGTTTACTCGCCTTGACATTGATGGATTCCGAGAATTCCAGAGTGCCCTCATTTGGGCTACAGCGGAAAAAATCCCAGTCCTTGGCCTTGTTTCCCTCCATTGGCCTCTTGATGCACCACTCGCAAGGCACGTGTTTGGGGTTTGTAAGTTGAACGGTCATGATCTGTAGCAGCAATGATTGAAACTCATCTCTGTGGATCCCTTTGCTCATGTTGTTCGTTCATTTTGAAAATGGAATTATTGGGCACGCAAATTTTCTCCTCCAAGCAATTTGAACACAAATTCTGGTGTGCTGCTCCAACAATGTTTCGGCTGCCATTGAATAAATTCGGTCCAGGGTCATCTGAGATGCAACATTTGCGTGATGGATGGGTGGTAACATCGATTTGCCGAGGCACAACAGAGAGAATTTCTGTGAGGTTGCGTTGCCCCGATGGAATGCAGGATTTCCAGGACGTGCACTGATGCGATATGAAAGGCAGCGAAGCCTAGATTTAAGTGGACAGATGATTTCGATGGGTGTTGTGGCGCAACATTGGTGGCAGAGCTTGTACCAGCGTATTGCAAAACAGCGACGGTTCACGGCGCCAATGCATATAATCATTTTCACCTGTGAGAGAGACAATGTCCTCATGCAGTAAGACCAATTCGTCAGTTGCGCGAAACGGTGTATATGATAGGTGGAGTCACTAGCAGAAAAAGGACCAAATAACACTTTTGCGAACACGCATAAAACACATTTCATCAAAGCTCTGCACGCTAAGAACACAAAAATGTCACAAACCCGTAAGCTTTGCACACGTTTGAACACGTGTTATTTGGCCCTTTTTTCCTTAGTGAGTTGCTCACTCTTAAAGCGCAAACACAGTCAATATATTTTGATTTGTACAATGCAAAGCCATTCTACGATTGAGATTTTAAACGTAATCATGTGGAGTGCAGTCAAGCACCTATAAGACGACATTCGAAAATAAAAGTTAACTTGCTCAAACATTTTCTAAAGCGTCAAGTTCAGGTTCTGATGATATACCAGGAACATAAAAGCTTTTGGAGGAACCTTGTTGAATACCAATAACATGCTCATTGTTTCGTAGTTCCAAAAGTCAATTGTGCGAAATCTGAATATTGAACTGACCTAGCTGACTTGAATTATCATATTTCCGTTTGTTCTTGGTATCATGAGCCCTTAAGATTGCGCGCATGGTGTGAAACAAATTTGGTGAGTCTAAGCAACTTTTGAACGGCATAGATCAGGGAAATTACGGCAAAAGAAGGAATTTTTGAAAATCACAACTGCTTGTAGAAATCAGAAATGCTTTCAAAGGGCGCTTTATTGAGACGTTCAACAAAAGTCAACAATTTCAGACGACAATATTATTATGGCAAAGTTTACGGCAGTTGTTGACCTCACCTGTAATTCGGTACTCTGAAAATGCCCATACACGTTCGCACTACACTCGGGCTAGGCAAGAGCAGATGTAAATTCTCACGTTGAGTCAACATCTGAACCCAAGCGCAAGCCAAGGATTTAAATTTCATTCCTTCGGCTGCACATTGGTTCGTAAATTATCGATAAGGTCCCTGGACATCAAGATGGAAAACACATTTGTATTTGTAGAGTGGCGTAATATCTCAGACATATATCATGGTGCCCAGCGGCCTGTGGAGTTTAGGCCATGAAGACCTGGCAATGCAAAAGAAGTAATCTATTCTGATTGCGTCTTTTGAAATCAAAAGCGAAATCAGGATAGATTTCTTCTTTTGCAATTATTGCGCGCACAGATTGTGACCAGAACTTAAACGGCACATAGACCAGATTGTGATCAGTTAGAGGTCTTAAGCCTTTTTTCATTCAAAAGGAAGAAACGCTTGAAATCTCCAGGTGATGGGACAGTTATGTTCCATACATAGCACGCTGATATGCCCCCTATGCTTCTGGCCTCACCTTGCAGTGTCCGGATTGAACCATTCCGAAATCCAGAGCGTCACTTGATATCTTCAAATCAGGTGTCATGATGTACGCTTTCACTGTGATCATAACCGCTGGACCCTGCTTCACTTCTACAGGGAAAGTAGCCTCAAGTGGCCCATGCGTGACTTGGGGCTTGCTGGTGTGCATTGTGAGCGTCATATCAACAGAGTCGAATTCCGCAAGCTTCAAAATCGCTTCTGGGTCAATTGACAATCCGAAGGAATCAAGGTAATGCTTGTTGAATTGGAATGACACCTGAAGCGTGATAAGAATTACGGTCAAAATAGAGCCAACATTGTTGAATGTGAGCGCGTGACATACTGGCACAGAAGTTGATTGACAAAGAGCCGCTATACAGTGGCTGGCGGAAGGTATGTCACCGTCAATTTCACATGCTCCAGCGCTGTTTCCATCCAGCTGCGCAAGCTACTTGCAATACTAAACCAAAAGCGGGATAATTTTGAATAAATGGAGACAATGTAATGATGCCAGAAGATAGCCTTCTATACAATTTCAGTACAGAAAACACATTATAGCATATTGCATGATGGTTTGCGGCGTGAGAGGAGGGTAATGTACTTCGAACGATCCGTTGTTGGAGTGTACTGCGCAGCATGAATGCATTACTGAGTTGAACAATGGGGAATTCAAAATTTGAGCGACTACTTCACCAAGAACTCATGTGGCATTTTATCGGATAGAATTTGCAGCACTCTCACCTGCTGGGCGCTGTGATTGAAGAGTTTGAACCTTTTCACGCGCTGGACGCCTTTAATGACATATCCGAAGTCGACAATATAATGGGAAATAGAAATATCGGGGAGCGCCAATTTCACAGGCTTTGGCGATTTTGATGGCTTTCGCGTTACAGTTTTCTCAGTGAAAATTATTTTCCCCTGCACCGAGAAATGCCAAATCATGTCACCCTCAGGTGAACAGACGACGGAGAATTATCAAGTAGATGAAGTATATAGAATCAACAGTTCTGTATCGATCCCTCTTGGTCAACAGATTGCCTTGCAATTCGTTTCCAATAGTTCTTCCAATGCATGTAAATATATGTCTAAACATTTCCCAAGAGTCTGGCACTGACAGGACGGAAGTGCAACGGAAACATATTGGAGTGACATATATGGCTACATTAATTCAATGGACACACACCCAGTGAACAATTTCCTGGTACCCTTGAAACACATGCTACATCAATTATGCGGGCAATATTGAACCTCTTTTCCGCGAAGAAAAACCATCAAGAACAAACCATGTAACATAGAACATCTAATGCTCTGCACCAGTTTGTTGTACAAATAAACAGGCATATACTATCACCTGTTTATAGAACGAAACGAGAATAAATCGCCATCTGCCTAATGAGTAAAGGCAAATGACCAACCTCTCCCGACGTCCCGTTGGGTCGTTGGCCTCCCCGCCGACGTCAGCAGGTGGGCGGCGGTGCGGTGGGATTCATGGGTACGGTTAATGCAACAGCGGAAAAACCCATTGCGGCAGCATTGAATGGAAAACCCCCAGGGTACCCTGTCTCCGATGTCGGACACCCCATATGTAAAAGATCGGCTGATGCCTGCGGAAATTGGAACCGTCGAGGGAATGAAATGGTGTAAGCGCGAGGCGGCAGAGCAAAGGTTCCAAGTTCGTGCCTGCCGTGTGTAACGATCACACGCATACCTGTTTCTTTTCGTCCACGTTCAAGGCATTCTTGTCATTCTGAGCTGCTTCCTCTTTTGGTGGAACAGACATCTCGGGGGATTCGCATCCCATCGCAGCTGCCATGAGTTTATCTTCCTTTTTGGATGCGCGGATCAAAAGATCGCGATGCAGTTGAAGGCGGTCCGCTTCGGATTCCCAGTCGGCTTTCGTGTAACCCAAATCATACAAGGGGTTTTTAGGCATCCTTGCGGACGAGCTTGTAGCCTGGAATAGATATAGTAAACGGCAATGTGAATGCTACAAGCCAGGGTTCTCAGGCGTAACTACGCCGCAAACAGGCTTCATATTTCTCCGTCAAATGACACACCGAACTTTGGTAGATATGCGGTTTCACGCACCCAGCCTCGGTACAGTCTCGGACTCATAATTGAATTGCGATCACGGCATCCTGGCGAGGCATTTTCTGCTATATTGTTTAAAGACGACCTTTGGTTGGCTATGCCTTCGCACTTGCGAAGAAGATGTTACCAAGGTGCTGAGCTGGCAAATTGTAAGTGCACACTGTTGCGTTGGTCTATCCCAACAAATTGATAAATGCAAGCGTGAACGTGCGTGTCCATATACATGCAGAGGATCAAGCATGAATATGTAACATGGGAAAGCATGAAGAGCTAAGTTGGCCGAGCAACCATGAGTAACAAGCGCGCTACACTCAACCATTGATGTCAAGGGAATAGTGGTGTAGAAATCGAGAGCCTGCATGAATAAATTGTTTGATATAATAATCATGGACGCCAATGAATCGAACGATCGTTTGCCAAGTATGTTGGCGCAGCGACAATGTCCTGACGCGTATTACCTGTGTCATCACGTCAGTGATGTTTTTGTATTTGCCGGACTTGACGTTGTGCTGCGTGCGTGCTGTGAATTTAACCACTGATTTCTATTACCTGCGGCAATGTACTACATGCCTCGTGCCAGAAACTGGACCCAACGATATATACACAAAGGTGCTTGAATCAGGCAGCATTTCCATTATCAATTCTCCAACAACTGCCACCGAATCATTTAAGTGCAATAAGACACCCGATATTACGCACCACTGCAGTTGGCACTTTGCTCCTGATGGTCGATGCTGATGGTGGGCGTTCCTTTGCCGTTGGGGAGCGTGTTGCTTTTGACGGAGGCGAGGGTCTGGAAATATTGGATCTTGCACCTTTGGGAGATGAATTCGGCTTGGGACCAGCCTGAATCAACCTAACATCATGATTGCATGCAATTTTAGTGTTAGCCTGTGATCTCTGTAGATGAAACGTTCTCAAACGTAAAATTCTGTGCTTGATTGCCGTTGTGCTTCCTATTACCAGTCATCAAACGCAAAAAGAATCGAGCCAAAGTACACATTGTACCATCCAAGTCTATGAGATGGATTTGCACACGCTGTACTGTTCCAAAGTACATTTTATCAGCCATTTGTAGATGAATAAACTGCCTATGTGAGTGAAAGGGAGAATATTCTTAGTATCTAGAGTAAATGTTTGAATCTTTATTTACATCCTTTCAAGGAAAAAAATTCCACAAGCCTGTACATTAAAGTGCTGAACATTTTGCCGTTCTTTTACGAACAAGGACTTGCTTAAAGTTAGACTTGGCAAAATAATTATCGTTCAATAGTCGTTTTCGCCAAACAACTGTTTGAATAGATGTTACTGCTGTGTTTCAATAAAGTCTAAAGGAAAGAGTGGAAATGCCGAAATCTCTTTCTAAATTTATCGAAAGGTGAACGTGTCTTCCTTCGGGGCTCTTTCCTGCAAATGAGGACATTGGCATGACATCCACGGCGCGAAATATTTGCATGGGTCATTCCCACCTTTTCTTAGCTTCTTCCAGGTATTGGCTGAAGGAGTGAGTTTTATGCCTCGGAAGTGATAGGTATATATACGGATAAACCCCTTCCACAGAAAACGTGATCGGAGTGGGGTCGAAATGTGCCACCTCGATGTACACCTTCTCTTGGAACTTTTCAGGAAGACCAGCCTTTATCTGCATTAAGTATCCAGAAGTGGACGACAAATGCCCTGTCAGAACTTTGAAGGATGGATGGACGCAACAATATAGAGATCAATATGCCCCTGAGAGAGCAGACGCATGGCAGATGGACACGTTGACCTGCAGAAATGCTGAACGACACAAAGAGAAATAGGCAAATTATCCATATCGATAGAAGGATTTAAGGCCAAACGTTGAATTCTTGTCCTGGAATCCATTTTGCCTGGCATCTATTTTGAAGGAGTGCTTAGAGCACCTGCGAGGAAGCATTTGTAGTGCGCGGCCGAAAAAATGGAAAAACCAAGGAGACTCCAGTCACATCCGAAATACGCAGAACCAGCGGCCGCTTCAAATTTGAAGTAAGCTTGAACCTAATTAAATAGATCAAGTCAAACTTGATGCATTGAACCTCATAAGCAGATTAATACATTGGTGCGCATTACAACTTGTGCACGGATTCCGCACTGAAATGCATGGCCTCTGTTGCTGACCTTTAGTTTGAGAGTGTCGCGCTGTCCCGCTCCGACACGACCCTTTTCCGGTATGCTTTCAACCATCCAGCCGTATGTCAAATGGGACTTGATGACATTGAAATCAAAGGGAACCTTTCCCTGGTTGTGCAAGGTAATCTCCCGCTCGATGGCTCGATCATAGGGCTGAGCGCCCAGGGAGATGTTGTCGGGCTCAATGTTGAATCGAATCAAGCTGGATTCGCCAGACAAATGCATCTGGGAAGGTAGGGCACATGAAAATGGATAGAAATGCAAAAATGCTGAAATAAAGTCATGTAGGAAAAGTAGCGTATGACCAGACGTATACAAACAATCACTTGAAGCGGGTTCGACTTCAAATTGCAGCTCTTTCGTATCCAGTGATACGGATACCTGTGTCCGATGAAGCAAGCGTTCACCGTGGAGAATATGATGCATAGACAGTATGTTCAAAAATGTGATTTTCTTGCAGTCAATCATGGAGGTTACCGCATTCTTGGAATGAATTCGGTTGACATTCGTACTAACACTTTGATTCACAGAGGGAATTAGACAGAGAAGTACTTGTGTTGCCATCGCCACGTTTCTCGCGGTGTATCCGTCTTTGCAAATACCTCAACGCAGTGTCTCAGAAAATGGATGACACACATTGAAACGTTCTCTTTGCAAATGCCTCTGCAAAACATGCACATGAGTCCTTTCTCACCTCGTAGGCTGGACCTCCCTCCACATGGCAGATAGCTGTGGCTGCAGTTTTCTGATTTGGGAACGCGAAATATGTGAATTCCATAAATTCAACCTCCCTTGGTCCCAAGACCCCTTTAATGGGCAGGATGTCAAATGCCCTGTTAGGAGGATTCTTGGGACGACGTGAAGGCGATGAAGCTGAATCGACACACCCTCAACCAGCCTCAATGCAAAAGAATCTGCTTCTTACCACTGAACTGATGACAGCAAATTCACACCGATTTTCCTGTTTGCGGTATCCCCAGGAATGGAGTGTCTTATTTCGGAGGTTCTTGCGGTGAATTGCTCAGACAAAGCTCATCTGATTGTATGAAAGACATTATGATTGCCTATTTCGAAATATTTGGTTTGCGCAGTTCAGAACATTTGGACCATGAAAATGGGCTATTTCAGACAGATAATTCCAGTCCGATGACACAAATGTGGTATTGAAACATTTCTCATATTCATACATATTCGTTACACGTGGGCGATAATTTATCAATTTCAGTTGACACACCTTTGAACCAAAGAATCTGTGATGCTCTAACACAATCACATCCACTGAGGCAAAGGGTGATGCCAAAAGTCCTAGACGCGTCCGTAGGATACGGTCTAGATACTGCCACTCGCAACTTCGACACTGCCACTCAGAGCGCGGACGATCCGAACGCTGTGTCGATGTTCTGGAAAGTAAGTGTAGACGCCTTTGTTCGTTGTATGAGGTCTTGGAAACCTCCTACGGGTTCTATTACGTCCGGTGGTGCAAACATTTTGGCAGGTGCAATGAAACTAATGTTTCTCATGTATCAGACAACGATCACACGTGGCGCGCCTGCTTCTGAACACAACCCTCGCGCCTGTCAAACGCGTACCGCGCTCTGCGTCTCCCTCTAGAAACATCCAATGGTAGATGACATCTAGACTGCTGACGTTCGTGACCGCCAGCGTTACGCGGCGACATGTGTCTGTGAGGACACTGCCGTAGTCGATCCTCGTGGTCTCGAATTTCAAATTGGGACGGTGGACCTCTCCAACCAGTTCAAAGCCATCTTTCTGGTAATTGGTGTCCGCGCAAGTGACATTCACCCGAGATCGAGCCACGGCGCTCTCCAGATCACCGCGATACGAGGGGTCGAATGTTGCCACGAGGGATTTTTCTTCGTTGGGACTCAGCACCAGACTGTCTGAGCTCAACTGGAAAGGCGACTGTGTTCTCAGGAAGAGGGTGAGAGGGAGCTTCGAAACATTCCTGTGCACAACCCAAGGCAGACACGAAAATGTTAAAAAAGCAAATAAAGGGATGCTGAACGATCACCGCCTTGTTTCGTTGAATGGACGTCTTCGCATGGTCGGTTCGCATGGAAACATTAAGGACCATTCACTAGGAAAAAATGGGCCAAATAACACGTGTTCAAACGTGTACAAAGTTTACGGGTTTGTGTTATTTTTGTGTTCTTAGCGTGTAAAACTATGATGAAATGTGTTTTATGTGTGTTTGCAAAAGTGTTATTTGGCCCTTTTTTTCCTAGTGATTCCTGCATTGCCGAGAAGAGGCGTGCAACACGCTAGAGGTTGCCTTCCACAGACTCCACCACGCATCTAGCCACTCTCCCAAGATTAGCCATACTGTAAATGCACGGATGCTGACAAAATGGCCAGAAAACTGTACCGTTTCAGCACTCGACACGTCCCGCTTCGAGCAAGAACGCACGGCTGATGTAGTTCAACACTGGTAGACAAGGACTGAATGCATGTGAGATGGGTAGTTTGCCCGCTGTGGTACGGGCGCAGTCCCCACCTGATGGCAACGTCCTTTCTCATAATTTGGGGATGGACGTCCTTCTCGTAGTAGTACACAAAACGCAGCTCGCGGTCCGGGAACTCCAGGAGGGGCGCTGCCACGTCTGCTTGGGCAACCACATCAAATACAATGTTGCTGCTGCTACAGCTGCCTTTGCTGTTTCCCTTGCCCGCATTGGTCACGCCTCCCCGGCACACCAAGCGCTCTTCGATAATACCTGCCCACGCACCGCGCCCACCAAGTATGGTCAAAAAACCACGCGTGCAGATGCGGAAATCGATCCCTCCCATCAAAAGGGGATTGCCTTGCTGATCCACGATCTTCAGAAATTTTAGAACTTAATGAAAAGGAGCAGAATGAAATTAGAAATTATTCCACCACTCCGCTCCTTTTACCGCAATGTAAATGTTGCCTGTGTAACTGCGTGATATAGAGGATGTAGCGTTAATTTTATCGAAATTTTGACTCAAATGAGCAAGTTAATTTGATTCAATAGTGCCAACATGGCTCGCAAGTTGGGAAATTGCGTCGATATGTGTGATGAATCAATGGCCAAAATGATCGCACCGCTTGAGTTAATATGCAACTAATGAGAAGAGCAATTGATGAGTCCAACGCGAACATTTTGTGCAGCAGCAAAACCCCGCTGCAGCACGACCTGGCACTGCCAGCTGCAATCACATACGGATAACACGAGGCCGGTGTTCAGCATCCAGAGTCCGCTCAAAAATGAGCTAACCACTTTAGTTACTATTGCGATGGTGCCCAAATGTTCCAGAAAGCTAACTACGACCAGGCTTGGTTTTTACGCCGTAAAAACTGATCGTATTTACGTTTTTACGCGCAAAAACAGTTCTTACGTTTTTATGCATAAAAATGCATAAAAATACGTAAATACAAAATACGTAAAACTGACCGGTGTACATAAGGACAGTACATGCAGACCTGCGGAGTCCGGAGAATGGCAGCGAGACGCCCTGGAAGGGGCAGAAAACGAGTTTTTGTTAAGCCCCATCATCGCCCTTGCCAAGGGCGATGTGGACATTGTGTTGCGGGTGCTCGAGATGGCGGAGCACTGATCATTGTATGCAACTTTCATCGTGTAACCTACGTTTGCCAGGGAGCCGTAAAAACGTAAAAATAGCCGTAAAAATGAGCCCTTTTGCAAATTTACATTTTTACGCATAAAACCGTAAAAGGAAAACCGTAAACGTGAACGTGAAAACCAATCCTGACTACAACTGCATCCTAGACAAATACGTGGACCCTAATGCAGATGCAGAACGCCTAATTCATCACAGGCAACATCCAAGAACGCATTTGATCAATTGGGTTTGTTTTGATTGACGTGCTTCAAATTTGCTTCAAGTTACGGAACTTTCACCAAGGCTCGTGGCAATTCCAAAGCCTGCATCCCTGATACCTATACAACAGAAGCAAAATGTAATATAGCAGCTAGAAAACGAATACAACTGATGATACTGTTGAACAGCGGCCCATCGCCTTCGAGACGTTTGTGGCTACTTGGAGCGAGGCTGAGCACCAGGGGGATCTGATGCCAATGTGCAATTCTGTGGCCCCCAAATTGGAATCTGCAACTTGGTTTACAAACACAGGTGGTAATATATGTTAACGGGATACCTTTCCCACAAACAAGAAAACAATGAAACGAATAAACGCAAATGATTCGCGCCACGGAAAATTCAGTCATTCACCATTGTCATTGCTTAGTGTTTCACACCAGTGGTCATTGTGATCCCTTCGATAGTGACAACTGTTGTCTGCTTTGCTCCGATGGTCGTTTTCTCCGGAGACGCATAGTAGATTTGCTCTTCCTCGGGCGGACCGTCCGCCTGGGAATGTTTGGAGCTCCCGCTGGACGGGCGCTCCCCAAGCTTCTTAGTTTTCGTGGCGCGCTTTCTAGCCGCTTCCGCAGTTTCATTTGTCCACTGCAAGGTGACAGGTCTCCTGGGAAATGAGCCCAAATTGGGTATGTGTCAGGCATTTTCGTGCTGTTTCCAGATCCAGACTTGGCTGCATCATGGTCCCAAAAAACCGTAGGTAGATGATTCGTCCCAGGCTGTGTGCAAGCCTTGGCCTGCTAGGGAAGGCATTGCGTTTCGGGAGGATCACGGGCATTTTCAAAACTATCGCGATCGACATTTCCTAACAAGGTAATGGACAATTGCGATCTAGACGCGCCGGCTTTGCTCGTTTGTTGGATGCGAAAGGGAGGCAACGTCAAATACGTCAGCCGATACATATGTCCGTTGTTTAACTTGCAATTTTGCCAAGAAAGATGGTCTTGCGCAATACCATATCAGAAGAAAGCACCTAGTTGCCCCCGTTTGGGAGCAAACTGGGAAAATTCTCAAAAAACAGGCACACAGTACATCGCGTTGACTACGAGAGGAACGTAGTATAGCCAGCATCGGAATGCAATGCCTGTGAAATAGATCCATCGTGCAAAATAGGTGCAGAACTTCGTGTTTCTTGCGTCACAAGATGCGAACCTGTCCATGTTGCACACCAGAATGTTCTTCGAGAATGATCGCCCGCTGAACTGGTTGCCAAAATCAACCAAACCAGATTCGATTTCCTTGCACACGACAGTGCTTCCAATCCCAGTTGCTTGCAACTGCATGTCGATATCTGCTCCCTCGGTGACCAGAATATGAAGGGTATCTTTGAATTTCTTGTCCATGTCCAAATTTGTGGTGACCTTCAGTTTGGCCTTCTCCTGGGGTTCTAGTACGCCGGACCGCCGATCAATCTAGAACAAGTATCGCAGTGTCGGATTCGTACACATACGGTTTCCACCGTCGGCACTGCCATGCGATGGGAGATTGTCCCGAGAGCGCATTACGGGCAGTTCTATCACACCGACAGAGTCAGTGAAAATGGCAGGCTCTTAAGAATACCAAAATTTCGACGAAAACATTTGAAGTAGGTTCATTGGTGATGATCGTGTGCTGGACAAGGAAAATATTGTTGCCGAACATTTTTAGATCAAACGCGTGGACTTGCCGCCACAGTGAACAACGAATTCGACAACACAGAAAGGAGCAGTGCAAAGGAAGCAGTTGTTTATCTATGGAAGCGCCAATGCGCGTCGATTGAGTCACATTCAAATGCGATGAGCTACATGCGGCATGTAATATTATCGTCCACGCCGACACAAAATGATATCTGTGCAGCATTGAACGCGCGAAAATGCGAAGAATCTGGACCACCATGCACCAGTCAGTTTGCAATACAGGGGCGATAAAATGGCCTTACCTTGAACACGGAGTCCTTTCCTTCTATGAACGTCTTGAATTCAGCGGGTATGAGTGATGTGTTGTGGACGGATATCCATACCCCGTGATCCTCCAGAACGTGCACTTTTCCAAAGTCGATGGAAAGACCTCCTCCTGTCGATCTGGACGCCGTAGCGCCAGGCTCCATTTCATCTTTGAATACATCCACATGGACTTTAGGGCCCACAGACTTAGCTTCGATGGCAAATTCCAAAGGAGGATTCCGGCTGCCAACTATTTGAACCCGGACGGGGAGCTGAATGCGGCCCAAGCGAGACGTTGCCAACGAGAATTCCAGCGTCTGGTGCCCTTGTGCTGGGACACCCCCGGAATCAGGGCGAGCGGAAAATGCCGCCAGATTTCTGCTGTGGGCGTCCTGCTGCATGACTTCGAACTTGGCGGGAAGGTTGGAGGGATTCAGAAGTTTCAAGCTTCGCTTGAATTCGTATCGCACAAAGCATTCGCCAAAGTCCAGAATGTCCGTCTCGATCTCGATCTTGGGAACCGCGCACTCCGCGAATAGAGGGATGACTGCAAGGCCCCTCCCCACGTCGGGAATGTCGAGCAGCAACTCCCTTTCGTATTTTTCGATTCGGCGGGACACCAAATTGACTCGCGTGGTTTGCTTGCCGTTGGGAAGGACGCGTCCAGTCTGCGGAACCATCTGAAACTCTGGACTCGCCTCGTCGTCCTCATTCAACCTCCAAGAAAATTTGACGGGTATTTGGCTCGTGTTTTCCAACGTTACTTCCTTGGAATAGCGAAACCCGTACGAGACGACGCCATAGTCCAGTGTGGATACATTTATTGTGAAGGAAGGGCCTACCACCCGACCCTTGAATTGAAGGAGAAGTGGCCTGGAGCTACTTAGAATGTCCCAGTGGAATGTCTCGTCAAAGTCGCCAAGCAGGTTGGACAGAAGTTTCACCTGCAGCAACAAAATGCCGCGCGCAAGGTGCCCGCAGTGGAGTTCAGCAATAGCAGCAAACACCAGTCCAGGAAAAAAGTAGAAAGTCGGCTTCTACAAAACACACCCCCTTTTCCATACGAAAATTCATGGAATTTTTCATTCCAGCACAACAGAAATGGACAATAGCAACTCCTCACAATCTGCCACGCGGCACGTGTCGTTTTGCCTTCACGATCGGTGTCGTCAGGACTGAATCCGCAGAGCGCATGTCTTATACTGTTCCTGCTCGTTGGGGCCGAAATTGAATGAGCCCGCGGGATATCCAGGCGTGCGATAAGTACGGCGGCGAGGTGGGGTTGTGTTGGGGGTGAACGGGTGGGTCGGGGATGATTCGGTGTTGCCGCACCTTGATTGTGCACACTTCTCCAGCATCAAGCGAGCCGCTGCTTGGATGAAAATTGAATTTGGATCCAAACTCCGTGTGTGGAGGCGTCAGCCGAAATCTGGCATCAATTTTGCCTCGATTCTGCAGTTCAACCTCGTACTGGTGAGTCGTGTTGATGAAGGTGTCCCCGACATCTAGCATGTCATATGAGAAAACCGCCTCTGGACCGAGTCCTCGAGCCTTGATGGTAACAGGGAGTCTGTCCTTCCTTCCCTGCACTTCAACAAACACCTTTTTTTCGTAGTCCTTCGCGAATGTCGGCCGGAACTCCACCGTGATTTCCACTTGGCTTCCGGGAGGAATGGCACCTTCCAGGGGATGAATCGAGAAATTTTCATCCCGAAAGAACATTTTCTCGAGGCGTATCCTCTTTGTCTCCAAAGAGAAGATGCGGCTCGCATTTGCTTGCCTGTCGGACAGGATGGACTCTGCATCCATGTCCCCGTCCTCCGCTGTCGAGCACTCTTCCGCAATTTCGAGAGTATCAAGACTTCCACCCAGCGACATCAATTTAGCGTCGGTGGCCGAGGCCTCGTCCTCAGGCACCCGGGCGCCTCGCACGCTGAAGGCCACGATGACATCGGATCGATTCATCACCTTGAACGATTTCTGTGACATCTTCGTGACATACGTTGGCAGAACTTCCACCACCTCTTGGAGCGCCGCCACATCTATTTGGTGCCCGAATCCCGTCAACTGAGAGAATATGGTCTCCCCATAGTCGTAAGCAATGTGGAGGTCCGCTCCGGCGGCTCCGGCAATTCTGGGGTTGAATTCCACGGAGCATCTCAGCGACTCTCCAGGCGCCAGGGTGCCCTGCCTGGGGTCCACCGAGAATGGGGCATCGGTGAATAGATCGAATTTTGCCGATTTGCCACCGACGTTGGTCACCAGCATGGACCTGGTCGCGCTGATTTTCAAGGGGCATTGTCCGAAGTCGATGACGTCGGGAAAATCCAGGGCGGGGCGCTGGCCCACGGCGGTCACGGGGACGATGTACTTTTCGCGCTCGGTGCACACCACGATGTCGTAAAAATAGTCTTCTTGTGATTCTGGACGAAATTCTACGACGTAGTCGACTGACATCCCCATTGCCAGCTTGCTGGAATTTCCGACGAAAGAGCCCTGTCTCTTGACAGAAAAGTGAGGCGAGTGGGGCGGAATCACTTTCACCCTCCTAGGAACCTGAAGGCAACTTGAAAGAAATGAGGTCAATCATGAGTGTGGCAGGGATCCCAAGTATGTCCAGACAGACCGAAAGAAGGCAAGAATGCGTTGCGCTTCCGAAATGGCTACAATCTGTGCGATGGGCAGCACGTGTGCTTAGGAAGCAATTTCGATAGTTCTTACAGCCTGGTGATGCACAAAATGAAAGACCTTTGATCGCAACGAACACTTGTTGGATTCATATAGCTTGACATGCAAAAGGAGTATGTATAAATGAAGAAAACTGCATAATGAATTCTGTTATCGCTGCTTCTGGTACATCGACTGTAATTGGGAGCCTTTAATCCATCCACATGAGTGGCGCGTATGGGTTCCAATCGGCGCTAGCATCTGGCTACCCACAGGAAAAATTCGATGAAGTTGCAGTAATTCTTAACGACCATTGTTAACACAGCGGAATTTGGGCAGAATTTTTGAATCCATTCAGGGAAATCATAGGCCTTTCCATGGCTTTTTTTATTGAACAGGGGGACACACATGCGACGTACACGTATTCCAATTTAGTCACCTTGTCGACGTTGCGCAGACACAGGGTTGCCTTGTATGTTTTGAAAGGGCGATATCCATGGAATACAATCTCGAGGGGTGTTGGTTCGACCAAAGGACTGTCGACATCCACCGCACAATCGACCTAAACAACGAACAGAAATTGTTTGTCAGAGAGGCTTCTCATGGACATGGTTTAAATCATGCGTTCGATAATCTGGCGCAGTGCAGTGAACAACGCCTCAAACACTGAATGGACAGCTGCCGGCCCAATGGACTCCCTGGTGATTGAAACTCACTCATATTCCTCGCAAATTCGTGCGCGTCAGGCAAGTGGCAATCGAATATCATTTGAATTCCAGAAATGCGCATTGAAAACGGCGCGACCTGTGCAAAGCAATACACATTCACAGCTTGTAAATG